CAAAACGTATCTTTTGGAAGGTGGCGGAAGTTGAACAATTGTTACAAGGTGACGATGGATTCACACGAGCTGCACAAGTCAGTGTCCTTCGTGAGACTCTGGTCATTCACACTTGTTGCGACGTTCTCTCAGGCAACTTATTCCAATCGAGGTTCATCAGAAAGAAGAAATTTACGAAAGTGTAGTATGCGATAAGAACAGTCAAGAAGAACAAGTGCTTCGTCCAACTGAGCGGCCGCAGCGCAGCGCAAGAATAACAGGACAATTGCCAAGATTGCAGAATACAAATAAGTTCTTAACAACTGTACATTCTTAGCAAAAAATAGTTTTGTTTTTTGTTTTGTTTGTTGACAACATTTTGTTGTGTCAACCCTGTAGATTGTTAAAAAGATTGATGAAAAAGATAGTTCAGTGCATGAGGAGATTAGACTGATAATTATAAATGCTAAATAGAAAGAAAAACATGTCAATCATACGTTAGTGAAATATACAAATAGAAAGCCAATACATCTTGTTTATTCCGTCCAAAGATTTGTGAGTATATTTCGAACGATCATAAAATAGGACGTGAGCGAACATAAACATGAAAAATGAACGAAAGAAGCAAAATTCACAATAGATCCATTGATAACAACACCCAGGGGCGGATCTAGGATTTTTCAAACATCAGTCATAAAACGTCGAAGGCGCTACGCACCTGGGGGGGGTCTGAGGCATTCTCCCCTGAGAAATTTTGAATTTCAGAGCCTTGAAAATGCCATTTTCAGCGTTTTAGAGCAATACAAAATGTATTTATGGGCATCGTTTTTGCGTAAAAACAAAACATTTTGCTTACGTTTTTTTCAAAAAAAAAAATGAAGTGAACAATACTTGAATGTTTTGCCAAATATTTAGGCTCATTATCATGCCAAATATATGGCTCATTAGCATGTCTAGGAACGTAAAATTTATTTTACAATAATGCTATTTAAAAACAGATATAGTCTTTAAAAATTTCTACCAAGTTGTCAGGCATAGACCCCCCTAGAGACCCCCATTCAAACCTCTATGTAATGAATTTAGTTAAGTTAGAAATTTGGTACTACAAGTGACAGTTCATAGATATAGAAAAGCTCAGACTTCAAACCATGCAAGTTTATTGTAACCCTTTACCCATCTCCACATCAGTGCCAGCAAATTCACCTTTTGAGAAAAAACTCAAAATTTTTTTCTGCCAAAGGTTAAGCAAAAATTATCAGAGTGAAAATTTGCAGTTAAGGACAGCTTAATGCCATAAATGTTTATTAGGCATTTCACTAGACTATTATCTCCTGTAAGTATATGCAAGGTGTGCTATATAGCAATCACTAGTAGCATTGTATTTGCAAATACAAACAGAATGTAACCAACATGTCTTTAATTATATAATTACATGAATGTTAAAATTGTTTCATGTGTCATGCTTACTGGTTATGATAAATATCTTTTCATATGATCAAAGCTTGTTTAAATGTAAATCAGAAATAATTTAGCTTAGAAATTATAATGATCATCAGAAAATTTACCTAGTGATCATGAAAAATACTTTGCTGTTTTTCCAAATTTCAAGGTTTATCTGCATACATAGAAAGGCATTTTTACTTTATAGAAAATGCTTTTCATACATCAATAGCCCTTTGGAATTTATGGCAAACAATCTGGTATGAGCCGTAGATTAACACACCTTTACATCTCTACATGAGGTGTTCAGTTAGAAAAGGGACAATATGTGACATGGGACAACATTCCATGTATGTGAAATACTCAGGTTTAATACCATTCCAGTCAAATTGTCAAAATAAAAAGCTTCATGGATCAGAAGACTCAAAATCACAGGTTATAGTAAACAGCTTCTCATGTAATCAATGTTAGTTTTCTCAAATCTTAAACAATATGTAGTATAACTGTCCAATGATTGAATGATCAATGATCATAAACTGAAAAACCCCAAACATTTGTTTATGATAAAGTAAATAATAGTATGGCGCCTTATGGCTACAGATTTTTTGTCCATTGAAATATATTTGCAGGAATGTAGGATTTCGCTGCCGTATAACGGCCACGATTCCCAAGCACTAAAGAAATCATAGCTAAAAGTCCTTTGGCAACAACAATTTTAGAAGCATCAATCTGCTTACCATACGCCATATTGACATAAATCGCATCACACACTCGCATAATTGACTTTGATATATTACATTCATGCATACACTTCACTTTTCCTTTACTTACGATTTTGGATGTAAATTTCTGCTGATAAAACTCAAAACAATGTTGGCTTTCTTTTGAACATCAATGACTGAAATGTCGCTCGCGAGATCGTCTTTGCCAAGCATTTAAAATTTATCCATAAATTTCCACCCTCTTGAAAAAATTCACATTTTGGACAGCAGCATTCATGTCAATATATGAATTTGTAAAAGATTTCCATAAATTCCATCTGATTGTAGTTTAGTTTCTATCATGCTTATAAAAATTACTATAAAACGATCAAACATTCAATTCAGACAGTGAGCTTGACTATGTTAGTTCAGTTGGCTATCAGTCGAAATCCGTCAAACCAATCACAATAAAGCAAAAATTCAAATGAACCAATTGTAAGATAGCAATTGGACTCCCTTATACGTCCGGCCACCCTTATTATCAGTCGAGACCATTCCAGAGTGTCCACTGATCTGGCTATTGACCAATAAAATAAGCGTTTTTGACCTTCATAGACTCCTTTATCCGTCGAACCAGTCAAGCCACCCCGCTTATCAGTCGGTTATTCCAGGTCAATTAAAATTCAACTGATCTGGTTACCAAGGAGATATTCATTAGATTAGTCATTAGTTTTCAATAATAAATAATGCGGGATTTTTATCACGAAGTAAATGCGATAAGAAAATAAGAATAATTAATGAATTTTTAATTAATATGAATAGGTAATTTTTGAATTTCAAACATCAGTCGCGCGACGGATTTGACATACTCTAGATCCGCCCCTGACAACACCATTTATGCTGACAGAATTTTTTCTTTGTATTTTCTTTCCAACACCAAAGGCTTGTGGTGAAGTATTATCGCATCCTAAATATCAAAAGGTAATTAACATTACTTAGAGAATTAGTTTCAACAATTGCATGCACATAAGAAGTTGAAATTATCTACCCATTAATAAGGTTTATGAAGAAAAAAGCTTTTAATTTCGCAAAACCTTCCAGTGAACAATAAGCTAACTTGAGTACTTGCCCAGTTCATCAACTAATAGCAAATTAAATATATGGCGGCAGCATTTTATAGACTTTATCAGAAAATAACGAATAGACTATGTTATTGAAACTTTCTTAAATGACAGATATGAATTTTAAGGTGGGTTTCTTAAACTCAGGTAGTCATATACAAATTGAAGGCACTATTTTTCTGAAAACTCAAAATTTTTTTTGATCATTATCGGTATTTTATGTGTGGTTTTTATGAATGTTCTAATCGTTTTTCGTTAAAACTATCATTTACCAACGAAAAATGCATTCAAAGTTGTTTTATTATAGTTTTTGGTTCTTAGCAACGCCTTAGCAATGGATTTTTACCCAAATTTCACCGTACAAACTCCCTTTCTAAAGCGAATTTTTTGTTTCTACTTTTGGTGAATGTTATTCAAAGCCTTCTTGTTAAGTTACATCGTAAATGGTTGCATTTTGGACCATGGTACTCTTAGAATTTCATATCAAAGCTGATCGCGTGCTCGCATTGCTCGAAAATTACTCTTCAAAAAAACATAATTTTGTATCTCTAAGCTTGTATCTCTAAGGACTTGTCTTTCCGTTTGGTGTTTTTGATGAAGTTTTAAAACGCCCTGATGGCCTGAAATTTTAAAATACGAAAGCAGTGTGGAATCCCATGTTGACTTGAGGAAAAGGAAAGACTATGCACATTATATTGTTCTTCAATGTAAGAATAAAGAATGTTCATTTACAAACATATAACGATACTCCCGGGTTCAAACCATTTACTTTAATAAAGAATGTGAGTGGAAGTATATTTTCAACACATCTAAAAAGCAAGGCTGTTCACATGACGTTAATGTCCGAGCATTCCTAGCATTTCATTTTAATTACATCAGTTGTACACCTCTTTTTATTCTTTCTTCTAGTAGGAAAAACGCTTGGAAGGAGACCAATCGCAGCATTTCTTTTCTCTTCATCTATAAAACATTTTATAAATAAAAGTCAGTATTTTTGGAGTTTAGATGAAGAAATTATTTCATGTATCACATTAGGCCGTATTCTGTATCACGAAAATGTGCTTAAAAATGATTTCTAAATGCCAAAATTCATGACTACATAAAAATCACAGAAAACTACTTATTTTTACTGACTGAATATGATTCAAGTTGTTTACATCTCTTGAAATTGCAATCTTTGGTGTTTCAGTACTCCAAAGTTTCATAATATTCGTTTAAAGTTTTACCTGTCGCCATCTTGTTTTATTTGTGAAACTGCTGACAATATAGCAAAAATTGCGGGTGCACTGTTACATGATAGCAACTATTATCATGTAATATCATTTATAAACTAGTATTATATTATATTATATTACGAAGCATTCCATATTTTTATATTTTAAATTGAAAATCCATTTTGCAATGTCATTACTAATTAGGACATAATCTAGAAGCTTGCTTGCATGCGCTAGAAGCTTGCTTACATGCGTAAACATATTTTGAAACCGCAACCGCATTTGTTGTTATTGTGGTTAACTATATCTTGCTGTAACCTACTGTATTGCGTATGGGATGTAGGTCACAAAACCACAATACTTCCCATTAGATATTATATATATATGAGTAGTTTACACCACTGAGTACAACTTACGAGAACAACCTACGAGGAGATAAACGTAGTTTGACAAGTTACAATCTACCAGACAACTATCTTGGCTTTTGTGCCATAGCTATCTTTTGGCTTCTGTGCCTTTAGTCTATTTGGAAAACTATTGTGAGTCATTGCTGGACTCACGAACGCTGAAGAATAAAGACTCACGGTTGTACTCAGACAAAGGAGATAAGTTTTATTCATACTTATTGACATTATTATTAAGACACTTATCTACTTTGATATTTACGCGTTGGTTAATAAATTGTTTGATCAAAACAACAAAATGGCGAGCTTGCGGGGATGTGTAATCCATTTTAAAGGTGAAAATGGTCCATTGACTGATTTTACCGAGACATCTTTGAAAAAAGTTTTACATTGTCACGACCTTTGGTTACTATACAATGGTGAGCAGAAAGACATCGCTGAAAAGAACAAAAATTTGATGAAAAAAATTCAGTCCATGAAAAGTCCTTTGGCTGAGTACCTTGGAGAGTTAAAGTACCATAGAAATTGCTATGCAAAGTTCACCAATGTCGGCCTGATTAGACGGGCTGAAAAAAGAATGAGCAAAAAGTTTGAAGCTTCAACAGCCACTGTCAATGAAAACTATGTACAAGAAAATAAGTCGACAGATGTAAATGAGCCTCACACGAAACTGCTACGATCATCCTCGTTTTGTCATAACAGTCCTAAACCTCCGATAAGAACTAAAGCAGTTTTGCCATCAATATGCATAATATGCAAGCAAGAAAAGTCCTTCGTCACTCAATCGGTAAATAATGTAACAAATAAACCAATATGTTACAGGTATTGCAATACCTGTTTTGTAACAGCGTAATGTTCTGTACTTAATCTACCTACAATATGATTTTACTTTTGTTGTCTTACTGATGGTGAGGAATGTGCAATTACAATTTTTCTTTCAGGGAACTAGAAAACGAGTTCTAGACAAACTAATTACCGCAGAAACGAAAGATGGCGGAAAACTACGTGAAGCTGCAACCAGGAAAGAGGACCGAAGAATTCTGGTCCACATATTAGACAAGGAATGTAATGCTCTGGAAGTAAAGTATCATAGTAAATGCTACAAAAGCTACACGTCATTTCTTTATAATACTACTTGTGCAAAAAAGTCAAATGAAAGTAGTTCTGGTCGCAAATGCTTATATGAAGAGTCATTCGCAGATTTTTGCAAATTTATCAAGAAAGCAATCATAGAAAATCATGAAATCTATTACATGAATATTCTTAAAGATAAGTTTGTCAAAACAGTTAGATGCTTCGAGAATGTCGATGCTTCAAGCTATAAGACTTCACAATTGAAGGAACGTGTGCTAGACAGGTTTCCCCAGCTTGTATTCTTTACTCCGAAAGTCCGCAATGAGAAGGAAATAGTGTATGCTGAAGACCTGTGTAAAGGTGATATGGCAGGAAGGTTTCTTAGCAATGACGACGAGACTGACGCTACCGAAGATGGATTAGAGATAAGTGACGAAGATGTCACATCGAAGCCAGTTCATTCCAAATCAGTGTCACTGCAAAATCTCTACATGGTTGCCTTAGAGCTAAGACGTAACATCCGGGACTACCCTTCTTTATGGTATGAGCATTGGCCACCATTGTCTTCCGATCTATCCGAGGACAATGTTAAAAAAGTTGGTTCTCCGTTGCTGTACAATTTCATGGCATGGGTGCTTGGCTTTTCAGAAGAGCCAGAAGAAAGCACAAACTACATAAATATTGAAGAAAGCTCCAAAACGAAGTTACTTTCTCTATGCCAAGATATGGTCTACAATTGATCTAAGGGGAAAACACAGACGCCAAAATCCTTAGCTCTGGCAATGACAGTTAGACAGATGTCTGGATGTTCCAACTTGGTAAGGGTTTTAAGTGGTCTGGGACATTGTGTATCGTTGTCATCCACAATGAGCTATGACACAGCTATTGCTAAATACAACCAAGAAACATCTACAGTGATACCAAAGGAGTTTGTAAAGAATGAAGCTGTTAACTTAGTCTTTGACAACATTGATTTTGGGGAGGAAACAATAAAGCAGACACATGTAACAAACGGAATAATTACTCAAAAAATGCACACTTGCACAGATGTACTAAGGGAAGTACAGAAAAAACTGGAAATCAAGAAGTCCCAGAGGACACTTGAAACCCCGGACGCCAATATCACCCCATTTTCGCTTGGTGCAAAGAAAACTCCTACGTTCAACAAGGCAGGTGACTTTATGACAACTTTCACCTCGACTGGCGAAACAGCAAAAAGGCTTGACCTAGCATATGTTATAGTGCGGTCAGTTCAACCCAATCAGGATGAACCACCTCTTCCACCATGGACAAGATTCAACACTGTTCTGTATCATAACCATATTCCAGATGTTTCTAGAATTGGCTACCTCCCAATCATTGATGGTCCTCCAACAGAGTATTCTACCATCAACGCAATTCTACAAAACAGTACCAAAATTGCAGACGAACTGGGTTTAAAGTATTGCACGTTTGCAATTCAGTTCAATTTTAGTCAGTTAGTTCATACTTTTGTTGATATTTTTAAGGTATGCGACCTTGGTTTTTGATGAGGCTGTCTATGCCAAAGTTCAGCAAGTTAGGTGGAAAAACGATGACTATTATAAACGTTTCGTCGTGCGCCTTGGAGAGTTCCATGCGGTTATGTCGTATTTAAGTGCCATCTCGAAGATTTTTGAAGACGGAGGATTGAAGGTATGTCATTTCAGAGGACTGAGGTGCGATTAATTAATAAGAATTTACACTAGTGGATATTTAAATTTAAAAAGTACATAGATTTTGCGCTTTACGTTCTTAGGATGTTTTAATTGAGTCTGGTCTTATGAGCGAGGGCTCCATAAAAGGCGTGCTTAATGGCAAGCACTACAACAGATCAATGTCCTGTCACAAAACTTTGTACGAGGCCCTGCAGCAAATACGTTTAGATGAATTCTTGGATAGTTTGGATGAAGAGTCAGAGGAAAAAGTCAACTCACTAAAAGGATATGCTAGACAAGCTTATCTAGATGGTTGTTTACAAGATTTTGTTGAAACTAAAGAGTTCATGCAGCTAGTAACTAGCTACGAGGAGTATGTTCAAGAATCTTCTGCAAAATCCAAAACTTTTGCATATTGGAGCATGTACATTAAGATGATAGGTTAGAGCTTTGCATAATTAAATCACAAATGCTATCACACAGTTTAAAATAATTGGTATGTTTAAATCGCGTTTACAATACACTTTGTTGCTTGCAGAAATACTCCTCATGTTTGTGCGTGCAACCAGAATAATTGATTGGCATCTCCACTTATCAGCATTTAGAGCAATGCTTCCTTGGTATTTTTCCTGTGATCGGTTTAATTACGCCAGATATGGAACTGCTTATTGGCTGGAAATGATATCTGTTGAGGAGACCCATCCAGGTTTGATGCTCAGCATGTGATCCATTGACAGTTTCCATTTAACCATTGATTTCGAAATTATATTACATATCTTCTAATCATATTTGTTGTGAACGTCTTTTGTCATTTTTTATTTAAAGGAATCCTCCCAAACTTGTCATCCAATTTTGCAGTCCAGCGGCAAGCTAACCATGCGTTTTCTGCTGTATCTTGCGATCAAACTATCGAACAAACAGCTAATCGTGATGCCAAGACCAAAGGTGGCTTGATTGGTTTTTCAATTAATCGCGCATCTGTTCACAGATGGCTACTTTCCCAATCTGAAAGAGCTGCAATAACTCGCTACTGCAAAGATATGGCTGGCATAAACAGTAAATCGAGGTTAGTCAATTCTTTATGTCTTCTTTTGATACATGAAGTGAACAGAGTTTGAACTGAGGAATATAAATTTAATAATGAGACATTTAACTTCAGAGAAAAAAAAGGATCTTGATGTATCCAAGTGTTTGAAGCATGAGAAGTGTGTGCGTGACGTGATTAACACGATATCCACTATGGCAAATCCATTTGATGCAGACAGAGCAAGTCTCGTGTGCATAAGCAGTGGTGTTCAGCTTGATGATGATATTGCAGATAGTCTTATTGGAGCAGAACTACTAGGAGAAGGTCAATTTACCGAATTCTGCAAGAACAACATTCTTGGAAGCGACAGGGATATTTTCTCAAAGATTAAGCAGAACAAGCTCAGATCATTTTCCTCAACAAGGGTAACATTGAAAGACAGTAAAGTTGTGAAGTCAAGCAGGAACCTATTTGCGAAACTGCTTGTTTTGTCGAAAACCCGTGAAATAAACCTGAAAGAATTGCTGTCTTACAGCCTTAGTGATTATCCGCTATCACTTGCTACTGTCTCAGGAGGTATGGTGAAGACTGCAAAGTCTAAGATGTTTGAAATATTGAAGCCTTTTGCAAAACAACCAATGCTTGCAAATGTCGAAAACCTAGATGGAAGTGCGTTACTTGTAGATGCAATGGCAGTTTTTCATGTTCTAAAGGGCAAGTGGAAGACATTTGGTGAGTTTGCTGATTCCACTTTTAGTTTCTTGGTCCAGCTTACAAAGCAGTGGAAAGTTTCAAGATTGGATTTTGTGGGTGATACGTATCCTGAGATAAGCATTAAAAATACGGAGAGATCACGTCGAGCCAGCGTCCAAGGTATAATTGATTTAAATAAGAACAATCTTTCAATCTTAGTCCTTAAATAGTTTCACTATTTTTCTCTAAAGGTTCACAGACTGTCCATATCTTTAGCAAAGACCAAAAATTACCAAAGCAGTGGAAAAAGTTCATGAGCTCTGGTAAGAACAAAGAGTCTCTTAAGGCATTTGTGTCTGATTATTGGAGTACCTATTTATCACCACAGCTCTCTGGTCTGTCCTGCTTGTATGTAACCAGCAATACTAAGTGCATTCGGCTGACTCCAGGAAAATCAGCAAGTGATCCAGTTATTCCAGAAAATATTCCTGAGCTCGAGAGTAACCATGAAGAAGCAGATACTCGCTTGCTACTTCATGTAAAGCATGCAGCGCAAACTTATGATCATCTTATCGTCAAAATCCCCGATACTGATGTTTTTGTAATTTGTACTGCCATGCAGAAGAAAATTGGTAAAGATCTTTATTTATTGACCGGAACTGGTAAAAAATTTCGAGCCATAAATATCACGTCAATATCAGATGCACTCGGAGAGGATTTGTGCCAATGCTTACCGTCATTTCATGCATTCACAGGTGAGTACAATTTATATGTCCAGCAAACATCCATAAAGCCTTGTAATTTATTCTTTGCATAATTGAAAAAAACAAGGCTTCATCACCATAAAATGAGAAGTAAAAAGCCTCATGCGCTACAAATAATCTACAATTGGTATAATTTCTTTTTTCGGCATAGGCTGCGATTCTACCAGTGCCTTTACGGGAAAAGGGAAAGGGAAACCTTGGAAGGTACTTCATGATAACCCTGAGTTTATCGAAACATTTAAATTACTTGGTTCGACATCTGATCTTCCTGAGGAAGTAGTGCTTTCTTTAAATAAATTTGTATGTCTTCGTTATGGCGATAAGAGTTCAGCGCGTGTTAATGCTTCAAGGTAAATATAAAATATATTTTTGCTACTATTGTCTTTTTTGCATTTGCTTTGTATTTCTTTCGGTCCTAGGTACACTCTCTTTGTATCTGGCAAGTGTTCGGACGAATGCCTTCCCCCGAATGCAGATAGCCTGCTTTTGCACATTAAGAGAGCCAACTACCAAGCAGCCATCTGGAAGAATAGTTTGCAATCGCACATTAATGTTCAACCTCCTGTGAGCCATGGATAGCACATGAAAAATGGTCAGTTAGAGATTCTTTGGATGACTGGATCTTCTGCTCCAGATACACTTATTGAGTGCGTGACATGTAAGTGTAAAGCTGGTTGCAAGAATCGTCGATGCTCGTGCTTGAGGTCTGGTTTGCAATGTACTGACATTTGCGGTTGTTCTGACTGCAGTAACTACGCCTCTGAAGATGACGGCCCAATAAAAGAGCCGGATGAGTGCGATGATAGCGATTACGATGATGCCGACGATACACATGAAAACTTCATAAACGATTTCAATGAAATGTTCTATTAAGAATGCACTGCTCAGCAGTGTGTACATCAGGAACTAGATGGCGACCAAAGGATTCTGAGTACGCAATCTCATTTGCCAATTTATTATCGTTATATTATTTACACAATAAGATGAAGGACTCCTTCACAATTCAATTTCAAGAATTTTTTTTTCATTTTTTAGTCTTTTTGTCCATCAAGCAGCTATGGAAGATTAATAGCTAAACATATCATTTCAAATTAACTTAGAAGGATTGATCCCTAATCATTATTTAGCACCGTTTTTTGAATATGAGCCAGCAAATTTAGTGAATTTCACACAAAAACAATATGGCGGATATAGTAAATAAATGTCGAATTTTTGATGGCTCTAGCTCTCTTGATTGCAAGTTTTCGGGATGTAAACAGGCAGATTTATGTTAAGTGAGTACATATCAGTACATCTATGTTGTTTTTACTTAGTCATGAATTTCTTCATCTCAACCTGAACAATAATCCACCATAGAATACGGCCTACATATGTTTCATGCATCATGTAATCGTTTTCGCAATTTTTCACCGGAATTCAGGTTTCTTGTTGAAATATTCAAGTATTTTGTCCATTTTTCTGTTTGTGTATCTGCGTAACAAATTTTGTCCACTGTTTCTGGTGTACATCGCAGAAGAAGATTATTTGCGACATCTGGATACAATGTTGTAAAGTCTATTTCAACCTGATAAAATTTTCGAAAAACATTTGGTTAGCCGTACTAGATGATGTATAAGTAAAGAACGTTTAAGAGTTTTTCTTTATCATGCCATGAACATTAGAAAGACGTGGGTATTCTTTCATAACCTCTCGTATTGTAAGTTGCGGCGTTTTTCTAATCCATTCTGATCGATTTAAGACGGTAGCGTGCATGTGTACCTATGATGTCATTAAATATGTAAGCAATGTCAAATTTTGGATTTTCAATCTGACATTATAATAATTTCATAGAAACATTTTGCTTATTTCCTCTAAAAACTTTATCTTTTTCTAAAAAGTATAAACATTTACATCTTTCTCGAACACAATACTTCATTGCTAAATCTCATTTTACTATTGTGTTAATTTGCACAACTTTTTGATTTTCGATTTTCACGATTATTTACTGTTATGATGACATCATAGGCAGACTTGCATGTTGCAGTAAAAGTGGTGAATTTAGTCTTTCACATTTTCACAATCGTTTCTCAAAAATGATTAATTATGTAAGCTACTAGTATCTGAACCATCTTGATTCTGCTTTTTCTTCTTAATTTATCCGTATCCAGTTCGCAAATGACTTGAACATCAACTTCGGACTCCTCCAACATCGATTTGATATTCTTTAAAAAAAGAAAAGGATAAAAAGTCTGTTTGATGTTTAATTGCTCTACAAGTTCAGCTTGAAGATGTAATTCTTAGAGCAAGTTCTTGTTTTCGAAACTCTGCTTTTTCTGCCAAAAATGTAAGGGCATTAGAACTACCTCTTGCGCCTTTTTACTCGCGCCTTTTTACTCGGACTTTCTTCTCACTTACCTCATCTGAGTCATTATCACGGTCTTCATTCTTCTTTGCTTTGTCCAATGTTGTTATAGCTTTATCTCTGCAATCCAAAGCCATATTTCTCTTTTGCTCTTCTTTCTTTTCATTCTTTGTCACAAGTATTGAAGGTGATTTCATAATCTCCACTATTTCTTCCAGTATTTTCTTCTTTTCTGTTGGAGGGTCAGGGGCAATACCACTACTAGATTCCTCCTCTCTACACTTTTTTTGTGCTTTGTCAATAACTGAGAAACTGTTCTCTTACAGTTCTTTGATCCCTAGGTACACTGGAGAAAAGTGGATAGCCATTTATCTTATTGGACACCTCAGTCCACGTCACACCAGCCTCTTTAGTCCTAGGTTTATAAGCAAATGGATGAGTAAACAATACCTCTCTGAGAAAAAGCACATCTGTTTTCTTTTCCCATTTAAATGTTCCACTGAAACAAAAAGCATGTACACAAATTGACTTCAGTAATTACAAAAAAATCAAAAAACTGTGAAGCCAAAAGCTTGACATTGAAAGGACAAACAATAATACAAATATTTATCATGTTAGTATGTTATCAAGCCAATCATTTTCTTCTTCTTACTTATTTCGTAGCTCTTCTTTTACCAATATTTATCGTACTAAAAGTATAAGCATATCAAAATCATAAATAAATTTGTCATAAGATACTAGAACTTTATATAGCCAGCCACATATTGTATGATTCATAACATCGAATAGATTAAATTCAACACTTCGGAAGACATGACTTAAAAATATTTATGAATATCAACCTTTCCTCTCCATTATATCATTTCCATTCATATTTTCGAAAAACACGCTTCGAAATGCAGTTTTTTCACTTAGATTTCGAACGTTGTATTAACTATCAGTGTTGCCAAATAAAATTTCTACTTATTGATGTTCTCTGACGTCAAAAGTTGACAAAAGCTACCAAAAGTTCATGGATCTACATTTGTAAAGTCGGGAAATGTAGGAAATGGCCGGAATAGCTCGGAGATTGTTTGTGATTGTTGAGCATACTCATAACATTACCAGAAATCACCAAAAACGATAAATAATGAATTGAAATCCGAAACAGCTCTATCAATCAAATTGATTAGCAAATTGAATAAATTTAAAGAGCTAAAGTTTCAATAAATATGAGGAACGAAACGAAATCAGGCTTAAAGATATTTTCCCAGCCTAACCAATGAAGGAGAGCTCGACCTGTATAAACTAGATTATGCTTTTGTGTAAATGCTTCACTCATCAATCCTCGGCTCACTTTCAAGCCTTAAGTAAACAGTTAAGAGTCTATGTACCGTTTTTAATTGATGTCAGTCGAGTCCCTGTTGTTCTCGTCAGCATAAAGACTGCTGCTTGACATCATTTGTTTAGCTCCACTTTGGAGTCTGGCCATTTGTTATCATCATAATAATGATCAACATTTGCTATTTGTAATGCCGTAGACAGTACTGCCAGCGACGTGCCCAGACAAAGTGATCTCATTTTTCCATCTCTGAGAAGTTATCTCATCCAACAGTCTTTGAGAGGTTGACAGCATTGCCAAAACATCAAAGGTAACACATGGCAATTCATGGCCGTTGTAGGTTAGATACCTGGTCTCTCAAGAGCATCTTGTGAGTTATGTGCCCGCTGGACTTGTTCCTTAAACTGCTGGAGAACAGTGCGGTTAGACCAGGTGCTGTATTTTCTGGTAGGTTAGTTGGTCCCAGGGTCGATTTGCCATGACTCGCCATTGTGCTACCTTCATCCGCCATCCAACTTGTTCCGTTTTGGTAATTTGCTGTCCCAAACTATCCTTGTCTGGTTCCTGGTGGAGCTCCGTCGATGGACTGCATAACATCTAGCAGTAACCGAATACTCCTGCATCTGAGGTCACCACCAGTCGTCTCGACACTGTCTTGCCACTGCATCCATGTGATTTCAGACAAGAGTGAGATTGACGTCTGCCAGCTTTTCCTCACTATACTAAATTCTTGCATACGTCTGGACAACACCACTTAACCTAGAAGTTAAGATTTTTTTTTCTTAAGTCCTGTGGCGATGGGTGAGCGACGAAACAGCAGGTGTGGATACACTGGGAGCTGTAGTTGCAGACCTGCACACAGGCGGCCCAGGTCTAATGGTCGCTTTCGTACTGACTGAAGCAGCAGTGAACTCATCGTCTACCTGGGAGTCTGAGCAGCTCTCTTTAGGAATGCACTGCTCACCTCACATGAGGAAGGGAATAGAAAAGGTGTCCTAAAAAAGCCTGCTTCAACCTTCATCCTGGCCAGCAAGCCGCGGTTGGCGGGAATCCCACACCGGTGGTCAAAATAAAGGAAAGAAATAATTTAAGGTGACATTGATCACCTTAGGCACATGGACCGTGCGTACATTACGTGACTACCCTTCATCAGACAGAACAGAGAGGAGAACTGCTTTAGTTGCAAGAGAACTTGCAAGATATAACATCGACATTGCAGCACTGAGTGAGACTCGTTTCGCTAATGAGGGGCAGCTGACTGAATATGGAGGTGGCTACACTTTCTTCTGGAGTGGCCGTTCTGCCGATGAGCACCGGGAGTCTGGGGTAGGTTTTGCCATCAGGAACCATCTTGTCCAAAAGCTTGCCAATATCCCTAAAGGTACAAACGATCGTCTCATGTTAATGCAGATTCATCTATATGTTGGTAAACGGGCGACACTCATCAGTGCCTATGCACCTACATTGACAAATCCTGAAGATGTTAAAGACAGATTTAACGAAGATCTGGATACTATGCTTTCATCCGTACGCAGTATTGATAAGCTGATCCTAATTGGGGATTTTAACGCAAGGGTAGGCCGTGATTCTGCCGCCTGGGATGGAGTCATTGGAAAGAGTGGGGTAGGCAAGTGCAACAGCAATGGCCTGCGCCTGCTGGAGTTATGCTCATCGTATGGTCTCCTTATAACCAACACAATATTCTGGCTGCCCAACAGGAACAAAACATGGATGCACCCCCTGTCGAAACACTGGCATCTCATCGACTACATCATTGTCAGGAAGAAAACAGGCAGGATGTCAGAATTACCAAGGCCATGTGTGGTGCAGAGTGCTGGACCGACAACAGACTCATCATCTCTAAAATGAACATCTGCATCAAACGAAAGAGACGTCCACAGGGATGCATGACCAAAAAGAGGATAAATGTTACCAAGCTGAAAAACCATCAAACAATTGCAGCTCTGTCCACAGACCTAGAATCCCAAATTGCCAACTTCAATCCTGGAGGTAACGTCGAAGAAGACTGGGAATCCTTTAGGGACACAGTTCCTTAACTGCAGTGCAAGTGTTGGGCTACCCTTCCCGACATCAGCATGATTGGTTTGATGAGAATGATGAGGAGATTCAGGTCCTACTTGATGAAAAGCACAGACTTCATCGTGCTTACCAAGATGATCCAACTTCAGTCTACAAGAAGAATGCCTTTGCCAGTGCACGGAGAACAGTTCAGAGTAAGCTGCGGGCGATGAGAGATTCCTGGCTCAGTGCTAAGGCTGATGAAATCCAAGCCTATGCCGACAGAAATGATACAAAGCGGTTCTATGAAGCTCTCAACACCATATATGGACCTCGATCGTCAGGAAATTCCCCTGTCTTGAGCTCAGATGGGACTTCACTCATTACCGAGAAGGAAAAGATCTTGCATAGGTGGGCTGAACATTTTGAAGCTGTCCTCAACCGTCCTTCTTCCATCAATGATGAGGCAATAGACAGGTTGCCCCAGGTCAACATCAACACGACCATGGATGTTCCACCTGTTGAATCAGAAGTCAGGGAGGCAATAAACAAGCTCTCTAGTGGTAAAGCCCCTGGTGCAGATGCTATTCCATCCGAGATATATAAAGTTGGTGGTCCCACAATAATCCAGAAGCTGACTGACCTCTTCCAATCCTTCTGGGCTGAAGGTTCCATCCCCTAGGAATTGAAAGATGCCTCGATTATTCACCTATACAAGAGGAAGGGTGATCGTCAGTCCTGTGATAATCATCGTGGCATCTCACTTCTATCAATAGCTGGGAAAGTTCTTGCCCGAGTGTTACTAAACCGGCTAATAGACCACCTTGAAAAAGGACTGCTACCAGAATCACAGTTTGGTTTTCGTAAGGGCCATGGAACTGTTGATTTAATTTTGCAGCACGAAAACTGCAGGAAAAGTTTCAAGAGCAGAACCAAGATCTGTACACCACTTTGTCGATTTGACAAAAGCTTTTGATACAGTCTCCCGTCAGGCCCTGTGGAGAATTATGTGCAAGGTTGGCTGTCCAGAGAAATTCATCTTGATGGTTCGTCAATTTCATGATGGAATGTTGGCCAGAGTACTTGTTGATGGTGACTACTCCGAACCCTTTCCAGTCACAAATGGTGTCTAACAGGGCTGCGTACTGGCTCCAACATTGTTCAGCATGGTTTTCACTGCCATGCTAACTGATGCTTGTCACGATGGTGTAGATGGAATCATTATCAAATATAGAATGGATGGGAGCGTATTCAACCTACGTAGACTGCAAGCTATCACCAAGGTTAAGGAGACCATCATTTGTGACTTCCTGTTTGTTGATGACTGCGCCCTCAACGCGTCTTCAGAATCGGAGTTGCAGATCAGCATGAATAAGTTTTCCGCCGCCTGTGACAACTTTGGTCTAACCATCAGTACCAAGAAGACAGAGGTCATGCATCAGCCTTCTCCTCATACACACTACACTGAGCCTACCATACTGGTGAATGGACAGCGTCTGCAGACAGTTGACAAATTCACATATTTAGGGAGCACTTTTCCAGAGCTGTGACTATTGATGCAGAGGTGAACAACCGGATCGCCAAAGCCAGCTCCGCATTTGGCAGGTTGTGCACAAACGTTTGGGAGCGTAGAGGGATCACCACTGCAACGAAACTGAAGGTCTACTCTGCCATAGTATTACCAACTCTCCTTCTTGCATGTGAATCCTGGACTATTTACCAGAGACATGCGAGACAGCTGAATCACTTCCACACAACCTGTCTCCGTCGGATATTGAGAATCAAGTGGCAAGACAAGGTGCCAGACACAGATGTCCTCTCTCGATCCAACCAGCCATCCATCTACACCTTGCTGATGAGAGCACAGATCCGATGGGTAGGCCACATTGCTCACATGCCAGATGAGCGGATACCTAAGCAACTGCTTTATGGTGAGCTCTCCAACAGCAAAAGATCAGTCGGAGGCCAGAAGAAGCGGTTCAAGGACACATTAAAAACCTCACTGAAGTCCTTTAACATCAACACCGCAACATGGGACAATCTTGCAGGGAACCGATAAACCTGGTGCGATCTCATCTTCAAGGGCTGTCAAGCATCAGAAGAAGGGTGGACTGTGGAAGCCAAACAGAAACGTGAGCTGCGGAAATCAAGAGCAGCCAGTGCTTCAACATCAGATGCATCTCTGGTTTGCCCTTCGTGCTCGAGAACATTCCGTGCCAAGATTGGGCTCATTAGCCACCTCAGAACTCACCGTACCCAGTCTTCTAGTACTTGAGTTAACTTGTCAAGGTCATCATCGCTTGCGATGGATGAACGACAACAACAGCTCCAAGAGGGGGTGAATCAATAATCTTTTCAAGGCGACCCCAAAATTCTTCTGGTTCCATACCATCACTGTTGAAGGGTAAGATGACATGAGAAAGCATACGCCACTGGTCATCAAGTGCTTGTTGTTGAGACTCAGATATAATATTTGGAAAAGCCATGGCAAGAAAATAAAGAGAATAAAACTTTGCACGACTCACGCCTGGATCTAAGTCTTGAAGCATCTCAATGATCAGATCTCCTATTGGAAATTGACTCCTTATTTGAAAAGCAGCTTCAAAATGAAATTCTTGCACACACTTAAGAAAATGTTGCACGTCTGTTGGTCGTTGCTTCTACTCATCTTTTTTCAAACAAAGGGCAATCCGAGCTACCATATACATTTTTGACAATGGCATGAAATTCACTTTGCTGGCTGGATCGAAGTCTTTCAATGGTAACCCTTCCCAGTAGGCTTCGTTTAAGTAGCAGCTCAGCAATTCTCTCTAAACAGCACTCAAGCCATTGTCCAGACAGTGGAAAAAGATTTTGAGCTCTGGAACATGACATTTAGCTCCGTGAACTTGGGAAGCACAAACTCCAAAAATTGAAAATATAGCTTCAATTCAGGTTTCTGCAAGAGCAAAAGAATCTTCTCCGAGATTAGCAATTATCGTGACCAGCCACAGCTTTGAAGGAAATAATCAGAGCATCCCATTGCTCAATGAACCTGGACACACAGGAGTGCAGCGTAAGTCATCTTGTTTGACATGGGCGCAACAATTTGTGCGGCGCTACGTCGCAGAAGTGCTGGACAACTCTGAATTGCTATTGACGTTTGGGGCTGTTGGAAAAGTAATTGTATACATCACGCATCAACTCCTTAGCTGTCCGGGAAAGTTTTTCACATGCGTGTGATGCGCAAAGGTGAGCACTGTGACAAATGCATCGCACGACAAAAATATTTGATAACTTATCTTTAAGGCGGGAGACAACACTGTTATGCTCTCCAAACATGACGTTACAAGTATCGGCTGCAAAACCAATTACATTGTTCAAATTTATATTGTCTGTTTGTATGGTATTTACAAGTGTCTGATATAGTGTTTCTACATCAGATTGCGGAACGTCGAGAACATCATAAAGATGGCTTTGCACAGTTAAAGACTGCTTGTCATAATGACGGGTAACGATAGCCAATTCTTTGCACGTAGATACATCAGTAGTTTCATCGATAATTATGGAAAATCTTGTGTTTTTCAAATTTTGTACATGTTCTTCATGAAAATAGGCCAACAGAGCATTTTTTACAATGCATTTAGCTTTAGTGCATTTGCATTTAAACTAGCAGCAATTTGTGAATCAGGACACAACTTCGGCAGAAGATCACTAAAGTGATCCATTACATAAAAGGACAGATTATGCTCGCAGATAAAGCTGGCCATACGCAATTCAGCTTCCTGAACTTTTCCATCTATTAGGCCTAAACGACGAGCAAACATTGAAACAATTCGATTCAGGGTAGGATTAACAAGAACGTCGACTTTTTCCTTGTGATACGTGGTTTCGCTATGTTTTTTTTTAAGGCTGTTATAACTGCTGTGAGCTCTCTATTACAAACATTGCAGTACGCTTTGCTCGGATTTTTGTCAGCAGGTTGAATTCAACCCTTAAACAAAGGATCTTTTTCCCAAGCATGACGGTATGTTTGCCCGTATTTAACAGTTTACTTGCTTGTCAGTCTAATGTAGACAATCTAAAGAATTAAGAATGTGATCATAAATTTCAACTATTGTTTTTGTATTAGATTTAGTTATATGTCGTCCTTTGTGAGTAAAATCGGCTTTACATTTTACCTTGGCTTTTTTAGGATTTGGAGCTTCACCTTTTTCATTATCTTTTACGGATGAACAACCATCATCAGCATCGCAATCGCTTTCCAACATGTTATACATTTTTGTTAAATAAAACTCAAAACAGGACAAAGTAGCGGGAAAAACACAGCAAATTAATTTTAGTTTAACATAATTTATGTAATATGTAAATAGTTTAACTTTTGACATAATATCATTACTTGTTACAAGAAGTAAACAATTTACTATTTTTATTACTGAATCATTGTACTTATTATTTTCTATCTTAAAGGAATGACAACCCCAAGTTCATGAAATCCTAAACAGAATTTTGAAAAGTTCACAAAAAGTTCACAAATCTATGAACTTTTTTCACGATCTGGCAACACTGCTAACCGTCGTAGAATAATGACGGTACAATTTTGCATTTCAGACATGCGCATTATTACTTATCCCAGCACATTTTTCTCGGCTAATGGTAGCCGTTTTACGTAGCTGTTGCATCTTAAACTCACTTATAATTGTATAGACAATGGTTAAATGTTATCTACTTGTTTTATATAATAAAATTCGAAAATTGAACGAGACTTACCTGAAGTCGAAGTTTAATTGAAATTCTATGAGTTACTGTTCTGGAACTAGGAAGTCATGTGAGATAGAGCGCGCGATATCAAGATCAGTTTTTAAAAAATTTGCGAACGTCCACATTCGTATTGGGAGCTAAGTAGTATTTAACATCATTTGAAAAGAAGTAAGTTAGTAGTTGGGTGGGTGACTTCCTAGTTCCTGAACAGTAACTCATAGAATTTCAATCACACTTCGACTTCAGGTAAGTCTCGTTTAATTTCCTAATTCTATTTTGTCATTGTTCTACGTCACTAGGAAGGGTTGTCCTGGACATTTAAAAACAGATTCTGGAACTGAAATTGGGACAATGGCATCAATTCAGCGCTGCCTTAGAGCAAATGATGAGGATCAATTGGCTGGTGAAAAGGCTCACCGATATGGTTCCTCCACTGGCAATCAGCGCATTGGATGCTTGTGGTGTCATCTAAAGAGGTCTCGTACCTCTTGGTGGATATATCTTTTCTAATATTTACGATACAGGAGAATATTACTGGATGGAAATGTATATCACATGCAATGTGCTTGGCTTTGCTTCCATGAAGTCATTCTGTGTGTCTTGGATTTTGTCAGATTACACTGGAATACCCATCAAATCCGACCATCCAGCATGACACTGTTGCTGGTAAGCCTGATGAATTATTATTTCTTCCAGAACTTGCAGGCAATGTCGATCAATTGCAGCCTGTCCATAAAGTAAATGAATGAAGTCATTTCCTTATATGAAGTTGAAACTTGTTGCAATGCTGGAAATACGGATCACCAAGAATATTTTGAATATGTGTGTAATCTTCGAGATTTGTCAGCTCAAAATGACTGGCGTGAAGCTCTTGATTTGTTTCATTATTTGGTAACTTTACCAGAATAAATTCATGCTTAGAAAGCACAGTTATATTTGGGTAAAATTATGTAGTTTTTTTTTCAAATATGTTGTCGGCTATACCACACATTTTAACTTACAAACTTGGAAAGAGTAAAAAATAAATTGTTGCTTTCATTTTAAATCAACTACCACCTTTACATAATTATCATCATGGTGCAATTCACAACTACATCTACATGTAACAAATAGGAAATAACAGTATGAAAAAGCCATTTGCACAATTATACAATATACTGTAATTTTCTGATTGCATCACTTTTTCAAAATGAGTCTTTATCTATGTATGCTCTAAATATTATCAACAAACATAAATTTTGTAACTTTGTATATAAAATTGTTCTAAAAACAATTAAGAAAGCTAATATTAGTAACTAAACAACATTTGACTCATGTCCGTGCGTTTATGAATATAAATTTAATACGATGTTACATTCGTTTCATTGGCAAAACTATCTGATAGACTGTCATA